ACCCATGACTGTGTGAGGCTGTTTATTTTTAACTGGAAACGAAGCTGAGGAAGACGAGGACGACATGTTGCTTTTGGAAGCAGAGGCGTCGTCAGCAGCTGATGGTTTCTGGATCAAACGCTGGATTTGCTGGGACAGCGCAGCCTCAAAGTATGAAATGATGAAGTGGGGCATGGCGTGCAAATACCTTCAAGTCTGCTGTCAGAGCTGCAGTGAGAAACTCTGCAGATGCTCCCTGTTGGAGCAGTTCCAGGAGACGCTGATCCTAATCACTTATTTATAGCCTTGTGACATTTATGCCATTAAATCTGCTTCATAGGCGACGCACTGAGCCCTGTCAGCTCTTAATATAACAGGAGGCACAGGCAGCTGGTATGAATTCCTTAAAGTTCTTTATATTGTTTCTTTTTCCCTGTCTGGCAGTTACTAACTGATTTATCCTTGGAAAGGGAGTCGGGTCTCTTTATCACACTCCTCTCTTTATCAGTGTTACTGGATCATGTGTCTGTAAATACCTGAAGCACATTCTTTATAGAACAAACCAGCATCTGACCTGTTTTAAAGCATCGCCCATTTTTATTCATTTTAATCTATTTTTCCCAAATTGACCCACATTTGTCTTAATGATCAGCCAAACGTCTCAGGAACCAGGAAACACTTCTGGGTCGCTGTGTTTGAGGTGGATCATAGCTGTTCACAGCAGTTAAACTGCAGAGACGGTTTCTGATGAAGCAGTCGTTGTTTTTAACACCACTGCTGATCTCAGAAAGACACCATACTCACAAATCACACCTTCCACTGACTCGTGCTCAGGTTACATCACCTACACAGAGAGTGGACGCACATCTGTGAACTGCTGCAGAAGTGCTTTACAGCTGGGTTCTGTTGAATGACCACTGGGTGGTACTGAGTCTCACTCTTTGCTCCCGTCCACACTGAGGCGCCGTTTTCGCTCAAGGAAAACGCAGCATTTTGAAAACGGTGCTTTGCGTCGCAGTGTGGACAGCAAAAACGTAGACTTTCCAAAACAATGACGCATTTAAACTCTGTGAAAACGCTGGTGTGGACGCAGAGCGTTGTCAAACCTATCTGGGCTAATGTGGGCGTGGCC